GGCCGCGCAGGCCATCCAGTTCACGGTGAGCAACGAAGACATTGTCGCCGCCAAGCAGTCCAGGAAGAACGCCGCTGCCGCCGCCAAGGCCGAGGCCGCTGCCGCCAAGGCCGACCTCCACAACGCCGGCGACGCGCACGCCGCGCCGCCTGCGCCGCCTGCGATGGAGGCCCCGGCGCAGTACGAGCAGGTTGTCCAGGGCGTTGGCCGTCTTGGTGTGGACGGCACCGTCACCCAGGACGGTCCGGGCCGCGAGGGCGAAGATCCCGGCTTCCAGGCCGCGCTTGAGCGTCAGCGCCGCCGGCAGGAGGAGGCCGACCGCCTCGCGTGCTCGCTTGAGAACAAAGAGGCGTGCCTGATGTGCTCTGGATAGATAGATCAATTCCCCCCGGAACCGTTCCCCCGCTACCTTGCTAGCGACGTCCGTGTCCCGCGATGCCCTATGTGGAGGTGTGCTTGGCGCCGAGACGCACCGTGATTGGGCCGAGGTTAATATGCCCACGCAAAGGGCTGCGGTGCGTGCGCGGTGCTTCGTCATAGCGTTTGACCATGTCTCCCCCGCGGATGTATGTTGCCCATGTCCTGACTCCAGCGTGCTCCGGCCACCGGCCAACCGCGGGTTCTTGCAAGGCTACCCGGGCATTCCGCCGTCCGAGACCCGGCCGCCGGCGCACCTCTCCGGCACGATCGAGGTCCAAGCGAACGCGAAGCCGATCGAGGCCGCCTGGCTGCGGGTCGAGATGGCCAAGACCGAGACGCTGCCCTCGGGCGAGTCCTGGACAGAACTGATTGGGCAGGGCCCGATGGACGTCTGGGCCGCTGAGGGTGGCGTGCACGTCGACGGCGAAGCATGGGCCCAGCTCCCTGGCGTACGTCCTACCGCCCCTCTGACGCAGCGCTCGTTCCCTTTCCGCGTGCCGATCCCTGAAAAGCTGCCTGCCACACTGCGCCTCGAAAAGAACGGCGGGATCCGTTACGAGTTGATCGCGACGCTGTGCGTCCGTGTGAAAAAGTACGTGGCCGTTCGCGCTCACACCACCAGGGGCTTCCTGCGCCGCACACAGGTCAAGCGCACCGTGAGCGATGCACAGACCATCGTACTCGAGAAGCACGAACTCCACTCGACATGGCCACTGTACAAGTACGTCGCCGCCCACCCTTACCCAGCGTGCCGGAAGAGTTTGAAGAAACGTCGGGACTGTACCGCGTGCGTCTCTACCGCAACAAGCAGTCGTACGCGGCGCTCGACTCGGTGGACGTGCGGGTCATTGTGTACAGCAAAGCGCCCGACCCCACCAAGCTCAAGAGCATCAGTGTCGGGGTGCGCCAGACCGTCACCTACCTCCCGCAGGCCAAGGGTGACGTCGCGTCGAATGCCGCGCCAGGCACCGTCCAGCAGCGCTCCGAGATCCTTGCGCAGAAGAGCAAGAACATCCGCAAAAAGATCAACCAGGACGAGTTTCTGATGTACGATTTGTCGGTGACGCTGCCCAAGTCACGCACCCTCATGACCGTCAGCACCGCCAAGCACATCGAGATCGCCCACTCGCTCCGCGTCGCTGTCGAGATCGGCAAGGAGTGCATCGTGTTTGAGCGACTCAAGATGCAGATCTCGGCGTTCCCATCGAGCGTCAGTGCCGCGACGACCGCGCGCATCGGCCACGTCCCGGACCTATGCCTCGACGACGGCGCACGGCCAGACGCGGACGAGGACGTGGGCGATGCATACGCTTCGCCCACGCAGCCTACGTACGATGATACGTCGCCTACGCGCCAACGCCCCCGCTACGACGAGTACGAGCGGATGCTCATGGACGACGCGGGGAGCATCCCCCGCCTCCAGTCAGACGCGTCGGCCCTCGGCACCCCCACGCCCCGCGGGCCGCTCGTGTTCCAGGCGGAACAGAACCATTCGCCTGTGATGTCCTCGCAAAGTCCTGGCCCGTACACCCTGACCGGGCGCCCGGCGTCCGTCATGGCGCAGACGACGCTCATGCAGCTCCCGAGCAACTCGGTGCGCCCAGGGGACCTGCTCCCCTTCGACGGCGGCGTGACGCATGCACCTTCTGCGACGCTCAACCGCCCGTCGTCGGTCGCCATGTTCCCGACGACGCCGCGCAGCGATCGGTCGATGCGCCAGCGCGCCGCCTCACCGACGTACGCCGAGCCAATCCGCATCGCACGCTCGCCGCCGTCCAGCGCCGCGGCAGCGCCCGCGCCCCTGTCGTCCGCCGATGCGCGCGGGTCGGGGAACCTGCATCCTACTGCGCCGCCGTATCGCGGGTTCGAATCCGCCGAGTCGGAAAAGGTGCGCCTGTTTGAGCGCGCACGGGCCGAGGCTGAACGATACCAGAACGAGTACGAACACGGCGCGACGTTCCCGACGGCCGACGCCGCGGGCCCCGCGGGCAGCGCGGCAGGCGACCTCAGCTACACCGATCGCGCCGCCAGCTCGTCGGCCGCAGCGCCGTCCGCGGCTCCGTCGGCCGCGCCGCGCGCCACGGCCGGCGCTTCGTTCCCGACGGCCGCCGAGGAAAAGGCCGCGCTGTACGAACGCGCACGCAGCGAGGTTGACGCATACCACAACACGTCTGCGGGCCTCGCTGGCACCACGCCAACCGAGGTGCCCGACGCACACATCCCCGCCCCGCCGCCGTCCACACTGCGTCCGACTTCGTACGCCGGCGGCGCTGATAGCCGTGCCGCAGCGCACGCGGACGCCTCCGCCCTGGCGGCGCCCACGACGTCCTTTGGGTCGCAGGGAACCACCAACACCACGCTACAGCTCCCGCTCGTCGTCACGCCGACGACCGAGGCGCCTGACCCGCACACCGCCTCCCCGTACCTCACCAAGTCGGAGGCCCGTGCGATGGAGGAAAAGGCTCGGCTGCAGCACCACTACACACAGCAAGACGACGCTGCTGCCGCATCGACGCTTGCTGCGCCAGCGCCAGCGCCAGCCCCCACGTCGCAGGCGCCGTCGCGCTCCACTACGCCGCCACCGCGCCCGCCCAAGCTTCCGCTCTCGTAGTCTACCGATAATCGCCACGTGATCCGTACTCCACGACGATGCAGGCACACGGTGCGACGGCTGCGTGCATGCGTGCCGCTCTCCTCGCTGTGTTGGCATGCATGTGGGCAGCGTGTGTGGGTGCTGTGCATGGCGGCAATGTGCCGCAGGTCCCGGCAGGCGCCGCACAGCACATTGCGAAGCACAACCCATCGCGGATTTCGCACTACGACCCGGACGCGGTGTACGAGGCGGTGTCGCTCGACAACACGACGCGCAAGGGCGCCGCGCATGCAGAGGGATGGGTGTCACCTGCGCAGCGGGGGGGCAGCATGCTCGACATCGTCGGCAACGGCTTCCGTGAGCCGATCAACGTCATCATCTCGGGCCATTCCGATCCTCGCGTGCTGTGCGAGCAGGGCCTCCTGGACTATGTGCGCTCGATCGGGTTCTCGTTCGAGTGCTTGCACATCCACCTCGGCGGCTTGCAGTACGCCAACCTCGGCGACGGCAACGGGTGGAAGCCACAGATGTTCGAGTACCGCAGCCTGATCTACCCCGGCTCCCCGGGCGTCTGGCTCGGCTCCTGCTGGGAAAGCCTCGCGGGCGGCAACCACTTCCGCGTTTGGAAGCAGAACGGCACTGAGGCAGATACCGGCGCGTGGTTTCTCGCCGTATCCAAGGAAGAGGTACGTGCGCCACTTACCCAGTCTGTCGCCGAGCACCACACGATCGTGCCCAACGGCTATGACCTCGGCCGCGACTTGCTCGTCGAGGCCGCGGTGCGCGGCAGCTCGTTCCGCGGCACGTCGTGGCGCGCGTCGGTCGAGTGGCACGACCTCCTCCCGAGCGGTCGGCAGAGTACGTCCAGCATGCGCTCACCTAGGCATCAACCACAACATCACCATCGACGGCCGCGTCGCCGTTCTCACAGTCCACCGTACATAGTCTACAGTGTCCATGTATACCGTCGCTCGTGCGCCGCACGCACACGCGCATCACTAAAGTCGAGGTGGGTCGGCGGCACTTCGCTCGTGCCGCCCTCCGCGTGCAACGCATATACGTCGCGCTCGACCAGTACCGCTGGATGCGTTGCACTGCGGGGGACAAGCAGCACGGTTGCCGTGCGCGTACCGTACCAACCGCGGCGCGCCTCACCGCCCACGTCCGCACCAGGCGCTGCGAACTGCGTGCCATCCGCGTTGCTCGGCAGGCGCACGGGCTCGACGCGGATCGTGCTTCGCATCTCGTCCGGCTCGCCAATCGGGCCGCGCGATGTGTCGAGCACGCCAAACAGGCCGTCAATCAGCGCCTCGACCGACGTTGCACGTTGGAGCACATCACGGATGAGCGCCTGTGCATCACCAATTTTGGGCCACGGCGTTGCCAGCGTGCTGTTGCTCAGGCCATGCACCACCGCCTGCGTATCCGACGCCAACACTGTCCCACTGTACGGATCCTTGCCGCGGTTCGTCAGGTAGCCCAGCAGCGCCGCGTCGCGCGCGGCCGTGCCGATCACCAAGTTGAAGCCATTAAAGGCACTTTTTTCGTGGCCGGCCTCGTCCAAAAACGTCACAAGGTCGGCCTCGGTCGGCGCGCGTGTCGCATACGTGTGCAGGAAACGCGACACGAGCTCTCCACGCGAATGCGTCGAGTTTGTCGCCGCACGCACAGACGCCGGCTCGGTAAAGTTGGTCAGTGCCGCAAACGATCCAGCGCGCGTCACACCGAACCATGTCCCACCCGCGAGCGTGTCACACCCACAGAGAATCGCCTCGCCCACAGCCTCGTTCCCGAGATTGTGCCATCGTGCTGGCGTCGCAGGCCTTGCAAGGAACTCGTCTCGGTTGTCAATCAAGATACTGGATATCAGCACATCAACCTACAGACGGTAGTCGGGATGCTGTGTTGTCCACAGCAAAATGCACATCGCGCGCTGCCGTAACGCCCTTTCGGTCTTCGGCGCACGGTGCACGCGGAGGAAAAAAATTGCTCCCAACCTGGTTCGAACAGGTGACCTCAAGAATGACTACGTCGCTTCAGTCTTGCGCTCTTCCAGCTGAGCTATAGGAGCGAGGAATTACCATTGGAGGAATCAAGGGCCTATACATCGCCGAATGAAATCACGTGGTTATATTGTTCGCCGCGGCAAAAGAAATGCTCCCAACCTGGTTCGAACAGGTGACCTCAAGAAGGACTGTTGAATCCTAATGAAGGCAATTTCGCTTCAGTCTTGCGCTCTTCCAGCTGAGCTATAGGAGCGTGGCTCGTGCAGAGAGGGGCATCGTTTGCGTACATAATGGGCTGGCGCCATGAGGATTCCGCACCGTGCGCCGCGTGCGAATTTTTTTTTTGCGACGCACCGCGTGATGCTCTTCTGCCCGAACTGCGCGAATGTGGTGACCGTCCTGCCGTCGTCCAGCACGGGCGAAAACAAATGGACGTGCCCGACATGCCCGTTCGAGTTCCCCATGGACCGGCAAGTGACGTCGCGCATCCGCCTGGAACGTAAGCAAGTCGATGACGTGATGGGCGGCGAGGACAGCTGGAAGAATGTGGACTCGACGGATGGTAGGTGCTTGCATCTGTTCCGCGGAACTAACTGTGCAGCAACGTGTCCCAAGTGCGACCATGGACGTGCCTACTATATGCAGCTGCAGATCCGGTCGGCGGACGAGCCAAGTACGTTGGTCGTGTGCGGCAGTCATCCTAACCGCAGTGACGACCTTTTACAAATGCACCAAGCAAGAGTGCGGTTTCCAGTGGCGCGAAAACTAGCGACGCCCTGCCATTGTACTATAGTCTTGATCGCACGATGCACGACCGTCGCGGGAGGGCAGCGGCGCGGGCGCCGCGTCTCGGCGCGCCTCCACGTAGCCGGCGGTAGCGGCACCTCCACATGGTACGGCGCGGCCGGCGCTTGCCCTGCCCGGCCATGCACTAGTGTGGGGTGGCCGCTCGCATCATGTCCCATCCACCTGCCTCCCACTCTCCCCCGCCTGCCTATGCCACTGAAACGGCGCCGATCTTGTCGGATAGTCCGATCCACTTTTTCGTGTCGCGCTATGCGATCGCGATGGTCGCGATGGTACGAAGTTGGCACTCACCTTAGGTGATTATCACGAACCGTATCCAGCACGTATGCACGCCGTACGGCCGCCCCGCACGCATTACACCAACCGAGCGTGTGATGCTGCGTATGCCATCGATCGCGATGCTATCGTATGCGTTGTTACGCCTGCTACAGGCAATGTGTGCCGATACCACCACACCATCGGCGCAGGCATGGCTCCAATACGTTCGGCCCTGGGTGCCACAGACGACGCAAACCATGGCACCTGACTCGCTGCTGTGGCTTGCCCTGCTGAGCGCCTGCGTCGCGCAGAGTGTGAGCACCGCCGTGCGGTCGCTCGAGCTGACGTACGTCGCCGCCGACTCACCGCAGGAGCGCCCAGGACGACCCGTCGACGTTCAACTTGGTCGGCTTTGGTTTCATCCTGTACATCCACGCACATGCGCGCCAGTTTGCCCCGAACGCGCATGTATATCTGATTGTGATCGCACGCATCGTCGAGCTGCTCGGCATGAATGTGCTGCTGTGCCGCCGTCCGCCAATCGTGTCGCGCCTCGTATTCACCATGGTGCTAAGCACGGTGATGACGGTGCACTACGTGTATACCGCTGCACTGTCCGACGAGTACCCCATCATCCACAGCGGCGGGCGGTTGATGGAAGTGTGCATTCTGGGGATGATCGCGCTGACCCTGGCGCTGCACCTGCTCACGATGTACTTTGTCGACCGCCGCGTGGATCTGCACCGCCTCTTTTTCCACCGGAGCAGCCTGCCCCGCCGCACGGATGATTTTTCGCTCGCCGTGCTCAAACTCGGCACCGCTTGTCTGCACGCGACCAAACTCACGGGTTTCTCATGCGAGCTGCAGACCCTCGACACACCGCTCCGTACCTACGTCGAACTTCACCCGGATGGCAGCACGGTGATCGAGAACAGCATCGAGGATCTCGAGCAGATGGACTCACACACCTACCACCCGCTTGAGCACGAAATCAAAGACGTCCGTGTCGTCCTCGAACACACGGGCGTTGAAATGGGCGGCGTCGTGCGGGGCGCCGACAAGATGCGCGCGCTCGGTCACTTTTTCCAGACCCTCCTCGAGATTGGATGGACGGTCGTGCGTGAGGGTGTCACGTACGCCGCGCGCTACCTCCCTGCGCCTCCCGCTTGGGTTTATCATCTTCCGCGCTACGCCCGCCTTTTTTGGCACGGCACCAACGGCGAGGCAGAGCGCGACGCCCGCCTCGCGCGCGAGGCCGCACAACGCGCCGAGGCACAAAAGGTGCACACACGTATGGAGGAGCTACGTGCGCGCCGCGCCGAGCGTGCGCTTCATGCAGACGACGAGGAGGACGCCGACCTCGACGCGACCCAACTTGTAGCGCTCGCGCAACAGGACCAGGGCGCGGACGCCGCCGCGTTCCAGGACGTGCTTGTGAAGCACATGCTGCGTGCTGACGTCGCGCCGCCCCTGACGCGCCGCGCCTATGCCCGATTGGCGGCACCAGCGGCGTCCGCCCCTGCAGCGACCGCGTCGGGGACCGACGCATGGCTCCCTGCGCTCATGCGGCGCAGCGAGGACCCGTCCGACCGGCAGACACGCATGGCACTTTTGCACCTGCTCCACGAGCGCCGCGAAGCCTTGCGGGCTCACGCCCCGGGCGAGTACGACCGCGAACGGCTGCGCCTGTGCGTCGTGTGTTGTGCGGAGGAGCGAACCATCATCTGCTGGCCGTGCCGCTGCGTCGCGTTGTGCGACGGCTGCCGCAGCACGCTAGCCTCACAGCAGAACGCGCTGCTCGCGATGCAGTCGGGGCATTCACGTGCCATGCCCCTGTGCCCGACGTGCCGCGCGCCGGTGGCTGCCTACTCGCGCCTGTACCTCCCATAGGGCCCACATGATGACATAAGCACGACGCGTCGCGCGCGCCCTCTGCGCTGTGCCAGCATGACGACGCAGTTCGAGAACGTGTACCACGGCGCCGGCAAGACACTCGGCAAGATCCGGTTCTCGAGTGCGGGTCTGGGGTGGAAGCCGCATGACGAGGGCGCCACCGTGACCATTCCCGCGGACCAGATCGTGAACTTCGCTTGGTGCCGGTACGTCGCGCCCCCCCTCACACAGTGTCGCGCGCAACTTTCAGCTGAAGATCGAGCTCAAGGGCGACGAGAATGACGACGTGTCGCATGCTGCGACCTTTGAAAACTTCCAACGCGACGATCACGACCGCCTCGCCGAGGTGCTGCGCGACTGCTACGACAAGCCGCTCGAGGACGTCGAGCTGTCCCTACGCGGCTGGAACTGGGGCTCCGCCGAGGTGGACGAGCGTGACATGAAGTTTGTCGTGCGCAACAAGCTCGCATTCGCGCTTCCGCTCGCCAATATCGCCAACAGCAACATCGCTGGACGCACCGAGGTCTCGATGGAATTCCTCAACCCCAAGGAACAGCAGCCCGAGCAGAACACGGGCGCCTCGTCCAACCTCGGCGGGCTGCCATTCAACGGGCCCAAGAAGAACCGGCCCGACCAGCTTGTGGAGATGCGCCTCTACATCCCGGGCCAGGTCGAGCGCGACGAGGACGAAAAGGTGGCAATCAAGAAGGACGAGGGCGAAGAAGAAGAGGAGGACGAGGAGGAGGAGGAGAGCGCCGCCGCCGCCTTCCACAACGCGATCAAGGCGAAGGCCGATATTGGGCAGGTCGCGGGCGATGGCATCCTTGTCCTCAAGGAGGTGCTGGTCCTCACACCGCGTGGCCGCTACGACATCGACCTCTTCCCCGAGTTTCTGCGCCTGCGCGGCAAGACGTACGACTACAAGATCCTCTACTCGTCCATCACGCAGCTCTTCCTCCTCCCCAAGCCGGACGACATCCACGTGGTCTTTGTCATTGCGCTCGAGCCGCCGATCCGCCAGGGGCAGACGCGCTACCCTTTCCTCGTGCTGCAGTTCCCGCGTGAGGAGGAGATGGATGCCGAGCTGAACCTAGACGAGGAAACCATCCAGACGAAGTACGACGGCAAACTCAAGAAACGCTACGAGGAGCCGACGTTCCGCATCGTCACCAACCTCTTCCGCGTGTTTTCGCAGCAGAAGGTCAACGTTCCGACCGGCTTCACCAGCAGCATCGGGCAGGAAAGCGTGCGCTGCAATGTCAAGGCGAACGACGGCACCCTCTACCCACTGAACAAGAGCCTCATCTGGGTCTCAAAGCAGACGATTCTCGTACCGTACAGCGACATCCACCAGCTCGTCTTTAGCCGCGTTGGCGGCGCCATCGCCTCTGCCAAGACATTTGACCTGCGCGTCGAGACACGGCACGGCGGCGACCATACTTTCCAGTCGATCAACCGCGAGGAGTTTGACAGCCTCAACAACTTCTTCGCCGAGCGCAAGATCCGGATAAAGAATGAGCTTGCGGACGATGCGGCAGGGCTCGGTAAGGCGGTCGACGAACTGCTCGACGAGGACGAGGACGTCAAGGGCCTGCCGGACGACGATGACGACGACGACGACGAAGAGGGTACGTACTTCTTCTACTCACCCATCAGAAGACGAGGACTTCGAGGACGAATCTTCCGACGACGGCGGCAGCCCTTCGGAAGCTTCCAGCGACGAGGATGGCGACTTTGCCGAGGACGAGGACGAGAAACCCAAGAGCAAGAAGCAAAAGACGTAGCCGTCGGTGCCGTAGTGTGAAATCGGGCCATCGGGCAAACGCGCCAGGTCGACACGACCATGGTCGCACACGACGGCGTGCTGGTCGTGGGCATTGGGTACGTCGGTGCCGTACCTAGCTGACACCACAGCGGTCCGACGAGCTCAGGCAAGTCGACCGTCGTCCAAAACCTGCTCGCCCTCTTGCAGCCGCCCTCGGAGGCCGCGGCGGCAGCCGCCTCGCCGATCGCCTCGGTCGATGTCGTGCACCAGGACGATTTCTGTCCCCCGCAAGACCAGATGCCACGCAACGAAAAGTGGGGAGTCACGGACTGGGACACGCCA